GAAGTCATAGCACACTTTTCTGCGCTCGTCTTAGCGGCCAACTCGCTACTAACACCACTCAGGTTCAAGTGGAGCTCTGGCGTATGCTTGGCTGCTTGCACCATAGCGACGAGTTCGCGCACCAAATGCAATTCGTCGCTACTTACGGCGCTCAATTGCTTCGGTATGATGGCTTTCGTTTCGTCGTGTGTTGGGAAATCGCTAGGGCTATCGAAGACTTCCATTAACGACTCGAAGATCTTCTTCTTGAAATGCAACTTTTGGCGCGCATTCATTTCGTTCAAGTAGGGTTTTAATGTGTCGAAGAATTCATCGTCGCTTGAAGTTGGCGGCAGACTGCATTGTACGCCTTGATCGTTATAAGCTTGTGAAGAATTGAGATCGTGCAATGCAACTTTTCCAGCTGGACTTAAAGAACTTTCCGGTCTTAACGTTTGCATGATTGTGGCTGCTGTGGCTTGTTGTGAGCCTACCATAGTGATATCACCTTGCGGTATACATAAGGTACGTGTTCTTTTATGCGCTGTAAGATTTGTGGTTGGATTTTCAACTGGCGCTGTGTCGCCTGTTTTCTTCGACAGCTTAGCAGCCGCTATCAATTGGTTTGTAGCCTCGCCCAGTGATTTCAAATGGTATGCACCACGTCTAATACTTTTCATGGAACTATCTTTTTGGCGCAAATCTTGCTGGTTGCCCGCCTTCTTACCCAAGCCACGTTTACAAGCGCGCTTGTAACGATATTGTCGTGTTTTAACAAAATCGTCTTGTGGCTCATCGTTTTGTTCGTCAATTTCAGTCTCATCAACATTGCTCTCCGGCTGCTCAATTTCATTATGCTCAAATTCGCCTAAAATACTCTCACTAGCTGCTGCATGTGCTTCATTATCTGCTGCGCAATGAAGTTCATTGCTATCGCCATTTTTCTTGATACACAATGTACCGGATTCACTATTCGTGGGACTAATGTAAAATGTGCCGACTTTACTCTTTGCACTCGTTGACTTCTTAGTCACTTCAGCTTCAACAAAAGTTTGTAGCTTTTCTTCTGCATTAACAAGCTTTTCTAAGGACTTTGTCTTTCTAATAGACTTGCTTTCAGACACTTTAACATCCTCGCTGTTCTTTCTCAACACTTTAAGTCTAGCGGATGGTGGTCTTTTGCCGGCAATAACCTTAACAGCTTCAGTATTATGTTTTTCTCCAATTTTAATTTCTACCTCATTCTTAATATTTTCTTTTAACTGCTCGTTTTCGCGTTTGATCGCACCCCCTTCTAATAAATCGTCGTCTACTTCAGTCTTAATCGATACGTATGCATTTTCTTGTGCTTTGTTATCAACATGTGTCGTTTCAATCTCTGCTCCTTCATCGTCGCTTTCGCGAAACGGTAGTTCGTCATTTATGTGGGGTATAAGAAATTCTAACACATCGTGCAGATTGTTCTCTCGTGCGCGATTACCTTTACGCTTTTTGGGTGTTACAACTAGTTGTTGTGCGAAAGTGGTTCGTATATCGCGCCAACGTTGCTTGCAGCTATCAACTGTAATGAAAGTTAACAAAAAAAAATGTTTTCGGTATTGTAACGCTATTTAAAATATGCATGATATAAAGTGTAGAATTAGTTTTTGCTACTTTTGAATTGTTTATCCATTAACATTAGACTGCTTGCTGTCAGGAACTCTCTATCAACACCAGACTCACACTTCCTAACCACTGCAGTGTGTTCCAAGCCGAGATGGCAAGTGCTTTTAACATTGCACTATTGGCACCCATGCTGTAAGGCTGGGATTCTCACCAAATGCTACCTGTAGAAGCTGCATGGGAAAAGAAGCGGTGGAAACAGCTCAACACTTCCTTGATACTTGCCTGTCCCGCGTTTGAAAGGTCAAGACTTAAAGGCTTAGGAGCGCATATGCAAATTAGCTACTAAGCATTTTGCTAATTTATAAGTTTGGACACAGGAGTTCTTCTTTTCTATGTCTTCACAAAAGACTACATATAGCAGTCGACGTACGACATGTCTTGATTAGCCATCTAACGTAACGTAGCCTAAACTAACCGAACTACAATTACTGGTCTAATTGGCTTGAGAACTCGAATTGTATATCTAGTTTGACCAAATAGACTGATCCTTTTCAGAATCAAAGGCAATTCCTTACCTTTATTTGTTCCGATAATTACTTAGCCTCACCACCAGATAGCTCCACTATCGCTAGAAAATTTACTGTCATGTATAATATTAAAATAGTCTGACAAAATTTCAGCATTTTATAGAAATGGTAAAAGCCGGCAAAGCCTATTCCATCGGCAGGTAAGACAGAAAAGCATTATGCCTCACGGCGAACTGAGAAGAAGTTTAAGTCCGGTTATGAGGTTATACAGTATTTGTAAAGATGGTTTACTTTGCAGATCATCAGAAATGGCATCTAGAGAATTTAAATCAGCGTCATGTGTAAAATCAACATTCATGAGAAGTCACGTTTAGTGATTGGATCACCCACGAAACCATAGATCATTATCTGTAAAATAATGACTTGTACTATATGTTCTCTTAGTTTTAACGTGGGATCCAAGTGTAGGTACTTTTTCCAATAGCCTTTTTTGACAGATCACACGTGAGTCATGTTATTTTTGTTCAGAATTAATTGTTGTTTGGCATTTCATTGATAAAAGACTTATGCTTGAACAACAAATCGTTGTTTGCAAATCGTTCAACTTTGTTACGAAAATTCACGATCTGTAAAGCATGTATTTCTCGCGCTTGGCTCAACTTATGTTTACGTTAACAGTGATGAGAACCATTTCTGGCTCAATGAGTATGTAAACAAGCAAAATTTCCGCATTTGGGACAAAGAGCAACCTGAAGAGATTTGAGAGCTGAAATTTCATCAAGAAAAAACCACAGCAAATCTGTGGTTTGTAAGCTGGTGAAACCATCTGTCCATATTTCTTCAAAAATGATGTCGCTGAGAACATAAGCGTCAATGGTGATCATTTAGTACCTGAAATAAGAGCTTGTGATCTCGGCGACATGCGGTTTCAACAAGACTGTGACAATGCCCACACATCGCATTAATCAATGAACTTATTGAGAGATAATTTCACGTTTTGAGCCAAGATCATATGTTATCACATCGTTAAAAGTCAAACGTTTAAAGTCCAAAGTCTATGCTGACAAGCTCGCTTCGATTCAGGACTTGGAACAACATGTCACGCGTGTCAATCGCCAGTTACCAGTCGAAATGCTCGAACGAGATGAATCATCTGAGACGTAGCCTGGCAGACTTTTGAAAAAGACAAACTTCAAAAAATATAGAATGAAATGTGTAATGTTTCGAATGATAATACACATTCCCCATTAAATTTGAAGTTTCATTGATTTTTCTTTAAAAAGGTAGGGAACCTCGAAATAAATTACCCGTGAATTTAGTTTTTTCAGCCGAAAGCCTCTGCTGCTAGCACTGCGTTTGTTTTAGTTTATGTAATAATTAATTATTATGTAAGCTTTGTATAAATAAAAAAAAGTATAAAAAAAATACCCTTTAAGAATAATTATTGTTTTGTTTTAGGTTTGGAGATGTATTTTCTCCCGACAAGACATCGTGTTTCGGTGGTCCCCTTGGAGATTAGCTACGGGATCAATATAATCCCACATTTATAAAAAATAATCACCGTTTGTAATAGAGCATTAAATTCTTCAGTCATATTTTTTTTTTTAATTTATTACACATAAAATTACTTTTCAGAAAAAAATTACAAAAATCGCGCTTCTCTGACGTGCAAGTGTATGTATAACTTAAATCGTTTTTAAGGGGTTCAGCCGTATTAAAATATGTAGTCCCGCTGTTTGAACTCCTCCATGTGAATACATATTTTTTTTTTTTAATTTTAAATATACATATAATGTACTGTTCAGTTTTCCTTACTCACAGAATAAGTTTTCAAAGTTACACCGCTTTGAATGGCTGTAGTTTGGCTTACCCCACCCTAACTTCGCACCTTAATGCGCATAACATATGTAATTAATTGATTTATTCAGGCAACCCTGCCAAATATATATATGTAGTTGGCAACCCTAAACTGACGACCTCACGGCCGAAATGCACCCCCTCATTTGGCACTCACCCGACTCCTCACACGTTTTGGCTATCTCCAGCCAGGCACGATCGTAAGCCTCTCGCGTAACCACATTCGCCACGGCGTGATCATAAATACACGGCTGATGTTGCACGGCACGGCACAAACGAACATTGCTTTGATTGTTCATGGCAAGCGAACACCCCGATGAAAGCACGAAATTTTTCTAAGCACCAAAACTGAAAGCACTAAACTTACAAGTTACAGTTACAACCACACGCACACAGCACAAGCCGAGCTTTTCATAAGCAAATACACAAATCCCAATGGCCAAAATTAGCACAAATTTTCTCGATGCACATTGCAAACGACACAACCAAAACTATCAACAATCGACAATAACAAACTCAAGTGTCACATTGACAGCAGTCAGCCGCTGACATTTGTCAATAGCGGCGCTGGGTTGCTCGGCTGCTGACACAAGTAGCTTAACACTTCAAATTATTTAAATTTTCAAAATTCCCACAACGCGTTAACACACCGCAGCGTTCAATTTCAATCGAACACGCTTACATTTGCCAACTATTTTCAGCTTGTCACTAATGCAATTGGCTCAATTTGTTGTTTTATGTCATGCTTCGGTATTTTAATTGAATCGTTCGTTTCGTTTCGGTTTATTTTGATTACGAACTTATGCGTGACAGCATTGCCAACTCGAATATTGACGCTGTGTTGTCGTTATGGCGCTATGAGCACGCAGTGCAGCGCTTGTGATTTTGGTGGCTGGCAGTGTTATGCGTCGCTAAACGAGTTTTGAAACGCACTGCATTAGTGAGAGCAGCGCCAAATGTCACTAGTGCAGCAGTTGGAAATGCGGTGTAGCACAAATAATTATACAATCGAAAGTGTAGCGCAAACATGATTGACTTAGGATAAATTAAAATAACTGTAGGTATTAAATTATATCAACAGAATTGCTATGAAGGTAGGCGCATATAGTATATAAATATTGGGTAGACTTAAAATCGCATTTTGCCGACAGATGTCGTTACAGTCATATATCTCCAGTGCTACCAAACACTTTGTGTCATACCATATAGTGTTGGAAAGGTGAGATTTTAGGCTTCATTTAGTAAAAAAAAATATTAAATTCGGGGAAGTTGAAAAAGCGTACAGCTGTTCCAAAATGAGTGAAAATAATGAAGAAATTCGCTATATTTTAAAATTTTTGTATAAAAAAGGGAGGAATGCCATGCAAGCCACCAATGAAATTTGTGGAGTTTACGGAGACGATGTTGTATCAGTTCGGGTAGCACCACAATAGTTCGCTCGCTTCCGTTCTGGAAATTTCGAAATTTCGATTTACACTGCTGAAAGTTTCACACTGCTGGAATAATGTCTTTGCGGAGAAATGGCAAAGGTGATCGAACAAAATGGTGCGTATTTGTTTATTTATTTGTTATTATGAACATAAAATAAGAAAAAACGTTAACTTCAGTTGCACCGTAGCTAAATACCCTTCACAGGTGCATTTCTGTTAGTAATTATGTGTTCAGTTTGTATGGAAGCTAAATGCTGTAAAAATCCGATCTGAAAAATTTTTTCGGAGATTAWATTATTACCTTAAGCAGTAATTCATGTCAAATTTCGTGAAGATACCACGTCAAATGTGAAAGTTTTCCATACAAGAACTTGATTCCGATCGTTCAGTTTGTATGGCAGCATATGCTATAGTTAACCGATTTGAACAATTTCTTCGGAGATTATATTTTTGCTTCAGAAAATAACCTGTGCCAACTTTATAGAAATAAATCGTGAAATGTGCAAATTTTCCATACAAGAGCTTGATTCCGATCGTTCAGTTTGTATGGCAGCTATATGTTATAGTGGTCCGATATCGGCAGTTCCCACAAATGAGCGGCTTCTTGAAGAGAAAACGACGTTTGCAAAATTTCAAAACGATATCTTAAAAACTGAGGKACTAGTTTGTATATATACAGACAGACGGACATGGCTAAATCGACTCAGCTCGACATACTGATCATTTATATACGAAGCAATGAAGAAACGGAAGTAAAGAAAATAAAATATTTATAATTAGTATGATGAGCTTTGTCTATTATCCGAGCCGCATTTCCCGAAGGGGCACATATTTTCCAAAAAATTTAGTTAATATATAAAAAATGAGTGCTTCTACTAACTCGTCTACTTATTTAAACGTTGTGGGATCCATTTCGAGGATCATTCGAATGAACACTCTATGGCATTTACTTTTTGAAGATTATCTTGCTCAAACATTAGCTGCGGATGCGTCGCAGATGATCCATTCGTCAAGTCCAATTTTCGGAGACTCGTTCGAGCATTTCGACTATCACACCACCTTGGTGGCCAAAACGAGATATATCTGCTCATCGAAGTGTTCTCTCACTAAATCCATGGTTTGATGCGGTGTGTGGAAAGCGGTTATTATGGCGGGATAACGGTCAGCATTAACCGTCAATGTTCCCACCGGCAAAAAAATTCATGGTGGACGTTGGCTTTGATGTCAAAAAAAAAAAAAAGACAATGAGCATAATTTTCACTTTGGTTTTGCTCATTCATCAGTGACCTCTTCACGGCCCTCCAAAAAGGCCTGATGCCCCCGGAACACACCACTTCTTGCTAAAGCAACATCTCGGTGAGCCTGCTGGATCATATCAAACGTCTCTGTCGCAGATTTACGGAGTTTCACACAGAATTTTATCGCGTACCTCTGCTCCAACGAACGCTGCATTTTTGGCTAGCACCACACACAGAAACACGTCGCGCGAACATGTTTGTTCTGATTCTCTAGGTGTTCGGAGACAACTGACTCATTCGTTAGACCTCTACAGAATCCAATCGGTGCGCGTACGCTACGAAGTACAGTCGCCGCGGAAGTAAATCAGTCCTATTACATTCCGGACAAACCCTGTACACTCTCAGCTACGGCAGCTATATTTCCATCATTTTCTAATAAATAATGTTGAGATCTGTCAAAAAAAAGGCTACTGAAAAAAGAGTTTAAAGGACCACACGCTATGTTTAAGAAATAATGATCACAGCTTTATGCCATATTTGTTCTAAACATCAATAACCATATTAAATGGATTGATAATAATATCCATACAGTGCACTCATCAGATGCTAAAATATCTCTATTATCTAGTCGTTTATTTTACTGGCCACTATCGATATTTCCTGCATAAAAAAAAATGCCATCGGAAACCAGAAATTAGGGATAAAATTTCATAGAAGAAAACCACATTATCTCATACAAAAGTCTCCTGCGTTACGTAGAGATGATTGGTATTGGATTGGATTGCCCCACGTGGGATTATTTTTTGTGGCTCACTAAATATGCGTACCCCCAATTATTGGGTAAAACTTGATTTTAACCAAAAAATTGACGACGCTATATTCTATACCTGTCTCTTATACACATCTAGATGTGTATAAGAGACATGGATTGGATTGCCCCACGTGGGATTATTTTTTGTGGCTCACTAAATATGCGTACCCCCAATTATTGGGTAAAACTTGATTTTAACCAAAAAATTGACGACGCTATATTCTATACACATCGTGTATGGTATCCACCTGCTCTTCATTAACTGAATAAGCTAAGAAAGTTTATAGTAGACTATATAAACATCTCAAAATGTTAGTCCCAAATTGTAGAACTTGTATTTGAATCACTAAATTCCATTTCCAGGTTATTAGAATTTTAAAGGGATTCTTTGGCGTATTGTACCAACATTTTAAGGTTAAGTTGTGTTTTTTTTAACAAGTGTCAGGGTTTTCCATTTGATGAAAGTCATTAAATAACATGCTTGTAGAACATTACATGTTATTAGCAAATTTTCTATATTACTTTTATCTACCTTCTTTTTCAAAATTCAACTTTACTTTACTTTCTTTTCAATTTCAAATTTCAAACCCAACATTTATCAGAGAAAAAGAAATGTGCTTGCCATTGCTTCCGAAATCATTATTTTTTTCGAAAAAAAAAAACGTCGGACTAACGTCTGATAAACAACAATGCATTATGACTACGAGGATATCATGAAACGCAATATTACTGGCGATGAGTCTTGGAGCTATGTATGTATATATACGATCCGTAAGCAGACGACCAAATGTTCGAAAATCGTGGCAAAGATGAACGGAAGTGGAAAAACGTAAAAGCAGGTCAAACATCAAGGTTATGTTGACAGTTCGATTATCGAGGTGTGGTGCCCTATAAACTCCTTGCGATCGACCAAACTGTCAACTGTCGTTTGCGCGAAGCATACCGCATTAATTATTCGGAAAGTTTTCGTAAAATTGTATGTGTGCTCTTATAAGAACTTGACTCTTATTTCAATGACGGACCAATGAGATATTATCAGTTAAAGGGTGAACAGGAACCATTCCTCTCTCTCTCAGTGCAGTCCGGTGCTCTGTAACAATTGTTTTCAGATATCTTCTCCAATAATTCACTAAAATAATACTGGATCCCGGTGGTACTTATCTCTACGGCCCTAGATATTATTGAGAATTTGATCTGCAGTACATAGTGCATGAAGTCGGCTGCTGTCGCTAGACAGATTTACAATTTATGATAACATTAATGGAAATCGTTGCTAAAATCTTTGAAATCGTTTGACTCGGAAGACATAGAACACGCTTCAGATAAGTGCATATGTATGTATGTAGTTCCCTACTTAGCTTAGAGTATAATTTCATTAACAATCTATTTACATACATATATATGTACATATATTTTAAATATTTTTACTTTGCTTTCCAAACTTTTATTGCATACAGTTTGACAAACATGGTGACTAGTAATGGCAATGCTGCGAAGAGACGTTTAACTACAGCTACCTGCTGAGCGTTATTATCACAGACCGAGTTATTGTTATTGTAGACATCTGCAATTATATAGACGCAGTGACATCGGAGAGCGGTAAGTAATGTTTAGAAAGCGGTGCATAAGTGAAAATGCTAGATAAGCGAATGCCTGGAAGAAAAATAATAAAAGCAGAGCAAATTGCGCTCCGCACTGAATGAGAGAGCGCGCCAGGTAAAAGAGAAAACGAGCAATATTTGGTGTTTTTCTGCTGCTCGTACACACACACACATACACTCACGTCCGCCAAAAGCCTTGAGCGGATTATTATTGCAGACTGCGTACTGCCTGCACACCCCTACCCCATGCTTGAGACTGGACAAATGTGTTGACGCAGCTGTCGGACGCGCAGATAACAATACACGCTTGCCGTTGCTGCTGCTGCTGGCGTTGTGGAGCAAACTGAACGATGAATGAACGAAACAAAGTGAACAGCAGCAATCGCAAAACAAATTTGTATGGCAGTGTGAGTCAGTTTGAGTGCGCGGCAACGAGGGCGACGCAGGCGTC